GAGTTCATGTTCCTTTTTGGTAGCTGTAGGAGTGCTGATGCACATGGAGATTTCAGGGACTGTCCAGCTCCCCGTGTCCTGCCTGTGCACAGGCTCACAAGAAGCAGAGAGGTAACACAGATGGAGCACCGGGCCTGGATTGGCCAATGTTCCATGTCATGTGATGTTATGCTCACCATATAAAAGAGGGGTGGGCGGGAAGGGGCACGCTCTCACTTTTGGGATTGTTGTCGAGGCATCTTTGTGTTTTAGGATCGCTGGCTGGGAGCCGGCTGGGTGTCAGTCGGCGGGCGGTAATGCAATTGCACTGTACATTACCCGTTCATACTGCCACCGTATTATTTTATCACCATTATTCAACTGTTCCTATCTCAACCCATGAGTCTCCCTTTGCCCCTCTGCTTCCTTCCCCATTCCCAGGTGGGAGCTGTGTGGTGTTTGGCTGCCGACCAGGCTCAGACCATGAGTTACACCCACTGGCAGACACACCAACATGACATGCACACACACCCGTCTTGCCTGTTGCTGGCCTCACCAAAGAACAGTTGGAAGAGCAACTGATGTCATCTACGTGGACTTGTGCAAAGCACTTGACATGGTCCCGCATGAAATCCTCGTCTATATGTTGGAGAGACAGTGATTTGGCGGATAGACCACTCGGTGGATAAAGAATTGGTTTTATGGTCACACTCAAATTGCTGAGGTCACAGTCTCAATGTCCAATTGGAGAACAGAGATGAGTGTTATTCCTCAGGGGTTGGAGTTGGGGCTGGTATTGATTGACATCTTTGTCGCTGTCATGGACAGTGGGATCGAGTGGCTGGAGAAGTAGACCCATACAAACCTCATGAAGTTCAACAAGGCCAAGTTCAAGGTCCTACCCATGGCTTGGGACAACCTCACATACAAATAGATTCTGGGCAAGGAGTGGATTGAGAGCAGGCCTGCGGAGAAGGACTTGGGGGTGGTAGTTCATGGAAAACTAGCTGCGAACCAGCACTGTGCACTCGCAGGCCAGAAAACCAATTGTGTCCTGGGCTGCATCAAAAGAAGTGTGGCCAGCAGGTCAAGGTGGGGGATTCTCCCATTCTGCTCCGCTCTCATGAGACCGGCACTGTAGTCTGGTTTCCAGCTCTCGTGATCCAAACATAAAAAGGACATGGACATGCTCAAGCAGGTCCAGAGGAGGCCGTGAAGATGACTGGGGGGCTGGAACACCTCCCTTGTGAGAACAGGCTGAGAGAGTTTGTTTTGTTCAGACTGAAGAAGAGAAGGCTCCAAGGGAGAAATTCTAGTGGCCTTCCAGGACTTAAACAGGGCTACAGGAAAGATGGGGAGAGACTATTTATCAGGGATTGCAGGGATAGGACAAAGGGTAATGGGTTTAAACTGAAAGAGGGTAGATTTAGCTTAGATAAAAGGAGGAAATTCTTTAGTATGAGGATGGTGAAACAGTGGAAGAGGTTGCCCAGAGAAGTGGTGGATTGCCCCTCCCTGGAACTGCTCTAGGCAACCTGTTCCAGTATCTCAGCATCCTCATCGTAAAACATTTCTTCCTTATTTCAAATCTAAATCTACCCTCTTTCATTTTAACACCATTGCCACTTGCCCTTCCAATACAGATCCTGGTGAGAAGTATCACTCCATCTTTCTTGACCTGTAACCACTATGTTTTCATCTCCAAACACCTTTGAGAGTACCCAGACATCACCCCAAGATGGGGTTTAGAGGACTCAAGCCCATGTGCAATGTGCTTAGATATAAACATTCTGGACTAAGTGTTGTGGAGACTTGGGACAGTCTAGGAGTAGCCCAAGAACCCTTGAAGGGTGGTTTGAGAGACGGTGGACTTTTTCTTCACAGTGGAAAACAGCATGAGAAAGAAATAATGTCATACTGTGCAGCTGGGGAAGTCCAGACTGGACAACAGGATAAATGCTGTGGTGCAACACATGACCCAGGAGGAGTACAGATCAGAACAAGACTTTGTTTTTCAAGGAAGATCCAGGGAGGATGGTGAGAGATCAGGAAAGAAAGGAAGATGCTCAGGGGGAGCGAGGTGAGACAGCCGGGGGGATGAGGACAGCCTGCAGGGAAAGAGGCGCAGGGCATGCAACCCCATAGGACAGCCTGTGGTGGAGATGACAGAGGGCTGTGGGAAAGCTGAAAGACCCCAATAAAGTCAACCCCATCACGATTTTGGCTATGGATGCTGCCCCTGACACTGATGCCTGTGAGGAGGCACAGTCCCTTGCAGCACAGGGGCCTCATGGCCTCCTTGTGCATCCTCAGGAGCCTGGGAGGTGCACATCTCCATACCCCCTACCCCAGGAAGAGCCCTGAGGAATGTGGGAGGGACAGGATCTCCCTTCCCAGGGGCTGGGGGTCGTGGCTTGGCCATTTGGTTAATGGGCTGAGGACTTGGAACTTTGCCTTAATGCAACACATTCAGGTTTACTCAGCATCAGAGCCACCTTTCCCTTTTAGTTCCCAACTTCTCATCACTGCCTCCAGATTTCTGCTCTAACAGGACCCTGAGGAGGCTTTGTCAACAGTGTCCCTCAGTGGGAGCCATTAACACTCCAGGAAATCTTGGAGTTTGAAAATAACTCTGACTTCTTCAGAGGTTTATTCAGCTTCTCTGTGTGCCTGAGGTTGACGGACTTGGCACCAAACCCTCCTGAGGGGTCATTAAACTGCCTTGGGCTGTTGCTGTGGTGCTGAGCTGGGCCGGGCTCCTGGGCCGGAGGGAGCTCCTGGCAAGTGGGCAGCGCTGCAGAGAGACAGCTCTGCCCAGGAGCAGCTCCTCTGCAAAGCGCAGCAGGGCTGGGGGCACTGCCTGCAGGCACCCAGGGCAGAGCAGCGAGGCACACACAGCTTCAAGGCAGCCTGGGCTGGGAGGCTGCTGAGAGCTCCGAGGAGGAGAAAGCGTCAGGGCCCTGGCCACAGTAAGTCTGGGGGTGCAGGGCAATGCAGCTGCAGCTCGGGGAGGGATCTGGGGAAGGCGGCAGAGCCGCCAGGAATCTGCCTCCTGCCTAAAGGAGGAGGAGGAGGAGGAGGAGTAGCTGCTCCTGAGCTCGGCTTCCCTGGTGCCCCCTGCGAGGGCCAGGGCATGAGGGCTGCTTTCTGGTGGGGCCGGCTGCAGGGGTGTGCAGCCGGGTGTGCAGGCAGGGGTGCCCAGGGCTGTCCTTCCCAGCAGGGTCCCTGCACCCAGGGGGCTGTGTGCTGGGGCAGGGACTCTGCCGCCTGCCAGGGTCAGCACTCAGCCTGCCCGGGGAGCTCCCCACGGCGCTGTGGGGAGAAGCTGTGGGGGGAAGGAGAGACCACCATCACAGAAATGACAATGCTGCTCACAGCTCCAAAGCACTCTGGGGACTTTTGCAGAGGGTCCTTCTGAAGAAGGATCTCAAGTCTGCTTTTACTTGTAATGCAAGGACCCTTTCTTTGAGATTTCCTTTCTTGTTTGGCTGGTTGGGCACTGATAGGATATTTTTCCACTCTAGTGAAGGCGCTTAAATCTCAGTTATCCTTAACACTTCTCTGAGCCACTCCTGAGACCCTGCACACATGGAACTGCCCCTGAGCAATGTCCTGCTGCCAGGAGGGGTCTGCAGGGCAGAGTTGAGCACACAGAGGGTGGGATGGGGGCTGGCAACACCAACAGGGAGGAGATAAGGGGACAAAAATGTAGGTCTCATCAGGGACAGACCCAGGTACCAGAGACATAGGCAGGGAGGGAGAGGGTGTTGCTGTCAGGAACGCTGTGGGGAGGGGGGATTTGGGCACCTCACTGCCATGTCCTGCAGTTCAGATGTCTTCCATGGAGCAACCCCTTGCTGTCCCCTCCCACTCAACACAGTCTCTTCCCTGAAGGCCATGGGGCACCTTCCCAGTAGCCTCAGCTCTGAAGGGGAAAACTTAGCAAATACCTAACTGCCTGTCCCTTTCTGCCTCCAGCAGCACTAGCTCTGTAGTATTTGTCCATTTTCCCCCTCCTGTATCTGCTCCCCTTACTGTCATGCCTGGACTTGCTGGGATGGGGGGCTGGGCTTAAGCTGCAGTTCAGAGCCCAACCCTGTGGGTCCTACTGTGCAGATATGTCCATGGGAGTAAAGTCCCCTCATAATCTGTGGGCTCAGGGCAAAACAAAGGACACAATATTCCATTCAGGACATTTACTCTTTAGGACATTCAACTCTTGCTCTGAGGGGCTCGTGCTGGGCTGCAGGTTTCTCTCCAGGTGGGAACAGCTTTCCTGGGGCATCTCTGTGTTATCCAGCAGCCCCAGGGAGGAAACACCTCAGTGCTAAGGCCATGGAAATGCTGCTGGACGTCTGCACACAGGCAGCTGCAATGAGCCCTCTGTGTCCCTGGCTGGGAGCGGAGAGCTGAGATCCTCTTCAGGTGTGATGAGAGGGGCTGAGGGATTTGGAGAGCTGTGCTTGGAGACTGGATTCCTCTAGTCCCAGCCAGTGCCTTGTTTCTGTGGGGAACAGCTGTGTCTATCATCATCCAGTGGTGTCTATCATCAAGCGGTGCCAGCACAGGGCAGATGAGACCAGGGCTGTTGGACAGAGCGACTCTCCTCACTCTGAACTGCAGGACAGGCCCTTGGCCTCAGGACCCACAATGTTTCACTGGGAGGTGCAGCAGAAATGCCAAGAATTTCTGCCTTAAAACCACTCCTCAGTTGCAGTGGTGCAACTAGAACACTCAAAAAAATAAATCCCCATGTTTCCACCCTGCAGTCAGGTGAATTGGGAGAAATAGTACTGTAAACCTCTTTGATAATACAAGTGGATTTAATGTATGATTATCCGTGTTCTGATTTATCAATAGCTGTCCAGCAGATTTGACTCCTCCAGAGCTCACAGCAGAGCCCCTGCTCCATGGGGCACCCTCAGCCAACATCAACCTGAGCTCACAGGATGGACTGGCCAAAGAACTTGGTTAAAAGGGAAAGGCAGTCACTGAGAAATACAGAGTAGATTCTATCTCAGAGAAGTCTACACTATCTTTTCAATGACTTTTCCTCCTTGGACAGTGCTCAATGACCAGTGGAAGCAAATTTTTAATGGTAGCTCCATCACCGAATTTCTCCTCCTGGCATTTGCAGACAGACGGGAGCTGCAGCTCCTGCACTTCTGGCTCTTCCTGGGCATCTACCTGGCTGCCCTCCTGGGCAACGGCCTCATCATCACCGCCATCGCCTGCGACCACCACCTCCACACCCCCATGAACTTCTTCCTCCTCAACCTCTCCCTCCTCGACCTGGGCTCCATCTCCACCACTGTCCCCAAAACCATGGCCAATTCCCTCTGGGACACCAGGGACATCTCCTACTTGGGATGTGCTGCACAGCTCTTTTTCTTTCTCTTCTTGATAACAGCAGAGTTTTATCTTCTCACCATCATGGCCTATGACCGCTACGTTGCCATCTGCCAACCCCTGCACTACAGGACCCTCCTGGGCAGCAGAGCTTGTGTCCACATGGCAGCAGCTGCCTGGGGCACTGGGTTGCTAAATTCTCTCCTGCACACTGCCAACACATTTTCCCTACCCCTCTGTGGAGGCAATGTTGTGGACCAGTTCTTCTGTGAAATCCCCCAGATCCTCAAGCTCTCCTGCTCAGGTTCCTACCTCAGGGAAGCTGGGATTCTTGTACTTAGTGTCTGTTTAGCTTTTGGGTGTTTTGTTTTCATTGTGCTGTCCTATGTGCAGATCTTCAGGGCTGTGCTGAGGATCCCCTCTGATCAGGGACGACACAAAGCCTTTTCCACGTGCCTCCCTCACCTGGCCGTGATCTCCCTCTTTATCAGCACTTCATTTTTTGCCTACCTGAAGCCCCCCTCCATCTCCTCCCCATCCCTGGACCTGGTGGTGTCATTTCTGTACTCAGTGGTGCCTCCAGCAGTGAACCCCCTCATCTACAGCATGAGGAACCAGGAGATCAAAGATGCCCTGAGGAAACTGGTAACAGGATGAATTTCAGAAACAATAAAATATGTGTCTTCTGTAAACAACTCTAAGTGTAACTGATTACATACAGGATCTCAGTCTGTAGGTTTTTGTTGGGTCTTTTGGAGTTGATTTTTTTTGTTTTCTTTGTTTTACTTTACGTTATGTTCTCTGCTAAAATGTGTCATTATTTTTCCCTGTTCTCATTATGTATCTATCAATCTTTTGTGTGAACCAGAGACTGTGTAAATGAGGATCCATGATCTCATTGTGGTTAAACAAAATAAAGGACACTGTAGAGACATGCTTTGAGATCCTTCCTCCAAGTCGTTCTCCGGTCCTACCAGGTCAGCCCTTGTACTGGTCTAAGATGTGAGTGGTTTTGTGCTGTGGTCACTGTCCCACGGTGTGGCAGTCCTTTAACTGCAGGCAGGGACAGGCAGTGGGCACTTCTGTGACAGAGCTGGCCTTCATGACAGCATTTCCATCAGACAAGGGGATCTTCTCTGGGCAGTGCATGAAGGCTTAGGTCTTCTTCCAGAGTTGCTCTCAAGACCATGCCCAGAAAATTGCCCAGGAGAGAAACCACCACTGAAGAGTGGAAGTGTGTGCATGTGTAGGGTGGGGGCAAACAGCAGTGTCCTTGTACAGCCAGGCTCTTGTAAGACACCTGAAGGACCAGGAAAGCATGGGCTGGACTGTGCCCGTGTGTGCTGGACACCCCTGGGGAAGCAGCCCCAGGGCAATTGCCACAGACCAGCCAATAACAACCACCATTTCCAGCATGGACCTCTTACTTCAGATCAGATAGGTTTTTCATACTTCCACAGAAGGACAACAAAGGACTAGGTCAGAAGTCCATGTTTGCATTGTACAGACAAAGCATAAACCTGCACATCATGTGTGCATTGTGAGATGAACCTGAGTGAGCACAAAATCCACCAGCTATTCCTGGGGTTGCCATGAAGGTCTGTGGCACAGACCATCTCTTGGGGTCACTTCACGTAAAGACTGACGTCCCCTGGGAAACCCCCTGAATGCAGCACTGGGAGGTGCTTCCCTGAACCCGGTCCCTGTGTCCATTCCTCGTGCCTCGGGGCATCTCCCACGGGTGCAGAGCAGGGCGAGCACCGCAGGGCTGAGGTGCCTCCCAGCCTCTGGGGGTGGCAGCAGGAGTTCAGAGAGACACTATGGCTCCTGCAGTGCACTGCCTCTGCGTGTGCAAGGGAAGGACTCGTGTCTCTGAACAGCCCTGTGTGTAAGAGGAGTGCCTGAGGCCAGGTCAGCTGTGGGCACCTGACAGAGCCCTGACACTTCTGTGTGTGACTGCAGGAACAACCCCACCTTCCCAGTGAGCTCCATCTCGGCCGCCTTGGACAGGCTCATTGCAAGTGCTCCTGTCTGCTCTGTCACCCTCCCCTGGGATTCTGGAGTGTGCCCAGAGAGGCCATGGGCCTTATTGCAGACTTTCAGTACTTCTTGGGGTCTTATAGGAAAGACGGGGACAGACTATCTAAAAAGGCCTGTAGCAATGGGATAAGGGATAACGGTATTGAACTTAAAGAGAGTAGATTCCGACTAGATATAAGGAAGAAAGCTTTTACAATGAGGTGGTGAAACACTGGAACACATTGCCCAGAGAGGTGGTAGATGCCCCGTCCCTGCAAACATTCAAGGTCAGGTTGGACAGGGCTCTAAACAAATCGATCTAGTTGAATCTCTCCCTGTTCATTGCAGGGGGGTTGCAATAGGTGACCTTTAAAGGTCCCTTCCAACCCAACCTATTCTGATTCTGATTCTATGAACTCTCTCAAAGGAAATGTCTTCCCCCCAACCTTTTCCATCCCACAGGCATGCTCAATATCACACCCTCCTAAAACAGTGTTTGCAGCATTGGACACCATAGGCCTGCCCATGTCCTCCCTACTGAGATAAAACAGAAGCAGAAAGCATTTATCCCTGCAGGTGGAACATTATTGTGCAACCTGGGTGCAGACCTTGTCTTTCCTGAGAGCTTTCCTCAGGTCCTCCCTGACCTCCCTGTTCCGCAGGCTGTAGACGAGGGGATTGACCAGGGGCGTGAGGACAGTGGCAGAAGAGGGAGAGCACTTTGTTGAGCTGCCTCAGCGGGGCTGTTCTGGGCAGCAGGTAGACAGTGAGGAGGGTGCAGGAGAAAAGAGAGATGACAATGAGGGGAGGGGAGTGGGAGGAGAAGGCCTTCTGCTGCCCATGCTGGATGGGATCCTCAGGATGGCAGCTATGATGCACACATGGGACGCAAAAGCAAACAGGAAGGGGAAGACAACGCTCAGGAAAGACAGGATGAAGGATGTGAGTGTGACCACGCTGGTGCCACTGCAGGCAATCTCCAGCAGAGAGGTCACAGAACAAGTGGCCAGTTGCCCTGGGGCCACAGAACTTCAGCTGGGATAAGAAGACTGGGACTGTCGCACACACCAACATAGCCAAGGTGCAACCTCCAGCTGAAGGCAGACCTTCCAGGTCATGAAGCCTGCATAGAGCAGGGGCTGGCACGTGCCCAGATCCCAATCATAGGCCATCATGGCCCGCAGGTAACACTCGGCAGTTGCAAAGCAGCCAGAGCAGTGGAGCTGAGCCATACAGCTGTGAGCAGAAATGGTCCCGTCCCCATTCAGCAAGCTGGCCAGCAGCCGGGACAGGAGGGTGGAGCTGTAGCAGGTCTCCAAGGAGGGCAGATTGCCCCAGAAGAAGTACGTGGGGGTGTGCAGATGCTGCTCTGACACCATCAAAACAATGATGAGGATGTGCCCAATCACAGACATGATGAGTGACAGGAGGAAGAGTGGAGTCTGGATTGAGGGCACATTCCCCATTCCCCTCAGCAGGAACTTCGTGAGGGATGTCCGACTCCCCTATTCCCATTTTTCCATACAGGTTTGTTTCTCTTTCTTTCCCCACTTACCAGGAAGGAGGCCTGTGATAAAACAGCTGCATTTCTGCACTAAGTGGAAGAAGAGATTGAATGGAAATACGGCTTAAAAATATGCAAAGAAACAAAAATTCCATATTCTTAGCATTGTTTATAGTATATTTTTGTCTCTCTCTAACCTCGAAGAAGGTACCGGGGTTCTTCAGGACCGGACAAACCCACTTGTCCCAAGAGCACTCCCTCTGACCACAGGGCTGCCTTGCCCCATGGAGCTGCCTCTTCCTCGTGCTGGAATGCAAACATCATGTGCTTTTGCTCACATTTTGACATCCTGCTTTACTGTGCTCGGGGGTTCCTCAACATGACCAGAATAGCTGTTTAGAACTGAGATCCTCTGTGCTCTGACAAGGAAAACCAGTGCCATGATTTGAAATAAATTGTTTCTGTCAAAAGATCAAGGCAGATGTCCTTTCTCCAACCGGGAGAAGGCTGAGCGCAGTGCTGGGTGAGTGGTCTCAGCTCTCAGAAATGCTGCCCTTCTGAGGAGAGCATTCCTGCCCTGAGCAGGCCAAGTTCTTGCATTGACCAGGAGCAGGTCAGGAGTTACCTGCTCAGAAAAAGGGACTGTTCAATGAGATCATGACAGAGGATGCTTGAGCCCACACTGTGTGTGAGACAGTAAAAGAAAAGGTGGGACAAAATCTATGCCCAGGACATGCCTGAGTGAACAGCCAGGGAAAGTGCCTGCCTGAGAAGCAGCCTCACCAGCTGTGCTCCTTGAAATACATATTGCTCTCAGCATTGTCAAACCCACCTCCTGGCTGTGATGGTTTGCTTCTGGAAGCAACCAGCTTTAGCAGAGCTGACAAGGATGAGTAAAGCCCCCAGCCCTCCCCACTGGATGAGTGAGAGTCCATGTCAGAAAGCTGAGGGTCTGAGCTTGTGGAACGGTGAGGGAAGGAGACAAGATGGAGAAACTGGGAAAGAAGAGAGCCCTGTGGGAGGAGAAGGGCTCAGGTGATATGGCCCCAGAGACCCTGCACTGACTTTTCCCCCATGCCAACTGAAGTGGGTAAGTGCCAGGGAGGGCTCCAACAGATCCCAGGCCAGCTGGAACTCAGCACCACCAGCCCCTCCCCAGCATCTCTGCTGGAAGTTACTGGGTCTCAGGGTATCTGGGGAAGGAGGGAGCTGGGCTGGGGACATGTGCAGCACAAGACAGGGCTGAGACTCAGCTCTCACTCACACACTTTCACTGCACAAACACCCACAGCAAAATCGGCAGTTCCCTGACTCGGGACATCCAGCACCCACCTGCAATGCTCAGCATGAAGGGTTGGCCTCTGTGCTGACGGTGCCTGGGAACAAAGACCTGGGGCCTCACTCTCTGCCTCTACCCCACCACATCTTCCCTTCCGCGATCTCTCTGCAAACCCTGACTCAGATCTAATGCCCTGCTCTACCCTTGCCCTTTTCTTCCCACAGATCAATAAGTGATGCACCAGCAGCAAAAAAAAAAAAATAAAAAATTCCCCCTGCTTTGTACTGTGTGCTGGAGCTTATAACACCAACAATTCTTTCAGTGACCCAGGCACAGCTCAGCTCTCCCCAGGCACTGCAGGGAGGAAGCATTGCTAAGCTAGTTCTCAAATCAAGCTGCAGCTTCTGAACTGCTGGAAAGGCTGGAATCTGTTGTGGCAAGGCCTGCCTTTCCTGACAACCCTGAATACCTTGAACTCCAGGTGAGGCTTCTCTAGAAAGGAGACTCAGGGAAGGAAATCATCAGGATTCAGCAAAATTCCTGACAGAAACCCGTGAGAGTTACCCAGAGTATAAACCCCATCACCTCCTTGAATTAGACACTAAAAATCTCCACACACTGGGCTAGTTTTTCAAAACCAGACTTTTAAATTAGAAATACAGGCTAAATACCTCAGAGAGACAAGTTTCAAAGAGAAACAAAAAATAGGTGAAGCCGTATCATCTGGATTTACAAATTCTCTATCAGCAGAAAGGAAGTCCCACAGCCTATGGGATGTTTCATTAGCTGGCCCTACAGAAATTTGGTTTCTTGGGCCTCTTGGCTCCAGCCTGCTGCATTCACATTGCTGGCAAGGGGACAATTTCAAGTTCAAGCATCAAATTTTTCCCCATCCTGCCTGGAGATGCAGAACAGCTCTGTCACACATCACGCAGCATCAGAATGAAGATGGAGGTAGTGTGAATTTAAATGGTTTGGTCTCAAATGAAATCTCAAATCGTGATCTTGCATGAAAACACTTTTTTCAACTAGGCATAAGTTACACAACTGTGAGTTCAGATCTAGTTTTCAGAGTTTCTCACATCTCTCGATAAAGAGGGTATGGTGCTGGGGAGAGGGGAACACGCTTTGGTTTGCTAAAACCCTGATGAGTGTCCAACACGTCCTTCCCTTGGCCTCTGGCATCCCAATTCTTGAGATGTAAACACAGTGAGGCTTCTGTCAAGAATCCTTAAGATGTTAGTATGACTTCCCTAAGAGTAGCAGTACCTGAAAGAAACAAAGAAAGAAACAAAAATTAATTAATCTGCCTAAGTGTAAATTAGTGTAATGAAACACTCTGCTTGCTTCGTAGACATGCTGGGCAATGTCAATTCAATCAGTATTTGCAATGTAAGCCATCTTCAAGTAGCCCTTCCAAAGCAGTTGACATGAAGGTAACTCTTGTAAAAGTCTCCTTTTGTGTCCCCAGGAGGCATGGGCACTGCTGATTTCCCTCTCCAGAGAGTGGCAGAGGCTGGATCCCCTTCTCAGGACAGACTCCTTGCCAGGAACACACAGGCATGGGGGTAGCTCAACTGGCTCTTACTGGCAATTCACTCAATATCTCTTTTGGTGTACTTGCTGTTTTTCTTTGACAAGTCTTAAAAACACTGAAGAATCAGAAAAAAAAAAAAAAAAAGAGAAAAAGAACTAATAGAAGTTAATCATCAAAGCAGGGAGGTTGGAACTAGATGATCTGCAAAGGTCCCTTCCAATCCAAACCATTATGTGATTCTGTGATTTTATGACAAGCATGAATTTAAAGTGTTGCCTGTCCTGTAAAGGAGCTCCATATATGTCAGACACATTAAACAGACTGTGCCTCACTCCCCATATTCCCTGGCAGTCACAGAATCATAGAATCATTTAGGTTGGAAAACATTCCTAAGGTCATCAAATCCCATCATTAAACTAACACTGTCAAGCCCACCACTAAACCAGGTCCCTCTGTGCCACATCTACATTTATTAACCCTGCCATAGCCCCAGCAAGACATAACCTCATAACATACAATTTGCAGTATCCAACCCTTTCCAAGCCCCAGCTGTGTCCCATGTGGGGATTCACAGACCTCCCTTCTCTTCAGTCTGCCAGGGTCTGCACCAGGAGAGAGGCCGGGCAGGGCTGGCTGGTCCCCCCATACAGGCACTGAGACCAGCAGGAGGATGGAGATGGTTTAGCAGCAACGCTCACCCATAAACCTGGGTGAGCAGCCAGTGCTGGAAATGACCAGCGAGATAGGCTGGGGGGTGATGAATGTCCTGGGCCACCTTCCCAGTCTGGCCATGCCACCGAGAGCACAGATCAGCCTCTCTCCTCTGCCTTCATGTCTTTGATCCCTGTCATGATCCCTGGCTCCGCACCACAAATCCCCTGGTGTGAGTGCTCACCCTGCATCTTCACACAGTATAAGCTGTACACTGGTATTTTTCTCTCCAAGGCACTTTCCACCCCAGCCCAGCACCTCCCCAGCACTCCCCATGCCCACCACACTCTCCCCAGACCATCCCAGCCCAGTACAACATCCCAGTCTTGGCTGGCCCCATGGCACTGCCCAGCGCAGGGTGCTGCAGAGCTCTGGGCACTCACCCCACAGCCCCAGCCCCTCGGAAGGTCACAGCAGCTCCTGGGGCACAGAGGGCTCTCAGCCTCCCCATCAGCCCCAGGGCTGGGGCCAGCCATGCCATGAGCAGACACAGGCCAGCGTCTCCCTCTCTCTGCTGCTCTTCTCTCCAAGAGATCCTGATTGCCCAG